GTGTGTGTGTGTGTGTGTGTGTGTGTGTGTGTGTGTGTGTGTGTGTGTGTGTAGGGGCAGTGAGACCAGAACTGTCATTCTTCACACCCAGGCCATCAACTCAGCCATCACTTATCGAATCACCAATGACACCAAGTTCTGGATGGATGGGGAGACAGTGCGGACCCTAGTCCCACTGACCAGCGAGGGGGTTATGTACGCACAGGTGTGGGCAGGGGCATTGGCTATGGGTAGGAGTGCCGAGCGGGGGATGAGCAGGGGTGGGCAGGGGGAAGGGCTGGGGGCAGGGGAGCCAAGCGGAGCCAAGTGGCCTTCTCACTCAGGTTGAGGCCACAAACACGGTGACCATGGCCACGGCCACGGCCGTCCTGCAGATCCGCGTTCAGGACCAGGCGCTGCCCCCCACAGGTGAGGGTCAGCGAGGGCTCAGGGTGGAGTACCCGAGGGACAGGCATCTAGATGTCAGGACAGAGGCAAGCTGACACCCTGTCCCAGCCCCAGCCCCCCTGACCCCCACAGAACCTGGAAGCACGCCCGGAACCTGGAGCAACGCCACCACAGAAGGCACCAGGCCCCCCGGACCCTCTCAGGGACCCTCCACGACCCACTCTGGGGGGCCCACTGGCCCACAGCCACCCTCGGGAACCCCTCTGGGGTCCTCTGCCTCACCCACACCCGGGGTACCCCCCAGTGTGGGAACCACCACATCCCTCCCCACAGCCACACCCAGCAGCGGGGGTTCTACACAGACCACGGTGCGAGGAACAGCTGGCCCCCCTGGGCCCATCAGCCCCCCTGGACCCTCTCAGGGACCCTCCACGACGCACTCTGGGGGAGGCATTGGCCCACAACCGCCCTCAGGTACCACTCTGAGACCCTCTGCCGTGCCCACATCCGGAGGGTCCCCCAATGTGGGAACCAGCGCCTCCCCCACACCAGCCATGCCCGGCAGCAGCTCATCCACAACCTCACCACAGACCCCCCGGGAGCCCAGCACAACTCCAGGGGCGTCAGGTACCCGCCCACCCACCTCCTCTGCTGGGGGTCACCTGGGACTCACTCTGGGGCAAGGCCAGCCTGGGCTGGCCATCAGGGGGGTGGCGCTGGGCAGGGCTGGGGTCTCCAAGGAGGCTGTTGTCTAGAGGGTTAGTGCACAGACCAGATTTGGGGACCAGAGCCCCTCAGTCCCCAAGGCTGGCCACTCCACTGACCCCCAGTGCTCCCTGAGTGTCCCTCCCAGGGCCCCTGGGGGTCAGTCAGTCGTGCCTGCTCTGGGGCCTGCAGCCTGGAGTCCTGTCCTGGCCTCGGCTGGGGCACAGGCTGGCATGGGAGAGGCTGACTGCTGGTTGACGGGCTTGTCGGCAGGGACCCCTGGCAGCGGGGGAGGCAGCACGGAGGAAGGTGGCGTCCCGGGAAGTGGCCAAGCTGGGGACCGGCGCTTCTCCACGGCAGAGATGGCAGCTCTGGGTGGGGTGCTGGGCGCCCTCCTGCTGCTGGCCCTGCTGGCCCTGGCCATCCTTGTCCACAAGCACCACTGTTCCCACCTCCAGTGCTGCGCCGGCAAAGCTCTGGTGAGGGGCGACAGGGCACTGGGGCTGTGGAGGGAAAGGACTAGGGCCCTGGAGAGCCAGCGCCCAGGTGCATCACGGCCTGTTGGCCATGTCTCTCCCACAGGAGACCTCCTCGCTGGGCGGCCACGACAACCAGGCCTTTGGAAGCGACCAGGACATGGCATACACCAACTGGGAGCCTGCGCACAGCCCCAAGGCTGAGCGCGACTCCGAGCCCGAGCCCGAGCCCAAGCCCGAGTCAGACCCCGAGCCGGAGTCGGACCCCGAGGCCGAGTCGGACCCCGAGGCTGAGCGCATCTCAGCCAAAGGCCTGCCCCCTGCCCTGCAGCCTCCCGCGCCCCGCGGCCCCGCCGAGGACAGCCCCGCGGCCGTGAGGTCCATCCTGACCAAGGAGAGGCGGCCTGAGGGAGGCTACAAGGCCGTGTGGTTCGGCGAGGACATCGGCGCGGAGACGGACGTGGTGGTCGTCAACGTGCCCAGCCCGGACGACGCCGGCGACTCAGACAGCGACTGGAGCGAAGACCGGGATGCCGACCCCGGCCTGGCCGCGGAGTCCAATGACAACACCACCTATGTCTAGTGCCAGCCCACCCTCAGCGGCCGGGCAGGGCGGGGGTCAGGCCCCGCCCATGCAGAATAAAGTGGCATATTAAAATTCCCGCGGGGTGACTAGCAGGGGACTCCACCCCGCTGCGGGGCTTTTGTTCTTGCCCGGGAGCTGGTTTGA